AAACATATTTAAAAATTACAAAGATTAAGTTTATCCCAAAATTTCACCAATCTTTTTCATTTTGATTTTAAAAAATTATATTTTTAAAAAATTTACATAAGACATTAAAAATTCAAGTAACTTTATGTAAGATTTTGAAAATTCAAAAATTTTTATCTTAAATCTAATATAATCTAATATATATATATATATATATATATATATATATTATATTACAATATACATGGTTACTAGATAAGGTTTGTTGATGTGGATGCTTACATGGAAAATTTTTCTTTTTGACACTTTTGAAAATTATTAAAATTTCTCTTTATAATGATATATAAGATTATTTTTAATTTTAGACTCTTTATCAAAAAATTCAAAATTTATTTAATTATCCAAAATTTTTAAAATTTAAATGAAAAACCAATTTAGAATTAAAATAATTAAAGGGATAAAATAATAATTTTTTATTTTGGTAAGATTTTATTTAAATAAATAAAATTAATTATTATTTTTATTTATGGATTAAATAAATTTATTTAAAAAGTTATTGGTTATCCAAATCTTTTTAAGATATATTTATTTGGAAATTTTAAATTATCCAAAGTTTTATTTTTACTAAAAAAATCATTTTTATTTGTCAAATACACCTTTAAATATATCTTTTTATTTTTAAAAATTAATTTTTTAATAATTTTTTAATAATTAGTTTTATGTATGGGTCCGGACATGAGATTAGTTCTAAATGACCAAATAGCGAGTGGAAAAGCACAATTATTCTTGATTTATAATTAATGTTACATTTTGGAATGCTTATATTTTTGTTACCTTTACAATTAAATTTATAATAGTAATAATTGCAAAGTTTGCCCATGGAATATAAAAAACTTTAGCTACCATTTTCAATTAGGACAATAATATATATTTTTATTTTTTAAAATTAATTTTTTATATATATCTTAAATTTTAAAAATATCAAATATAATTTTATCTTAATAGATTTCATGATAATCTTTTATTATTTAAATGGATCAAATTTAATCTCCTAATAATTTGTGAATGATTGTTTAATATCATTCTTTAACATCAATTTTTTTTTGTCATAGTTCTCCATTTTTATGTTAGCTCATTTTCTTTTTATATTAAAAAGTGAAAGTTATAGAAAAGTTTATTTATTTTTTTGGATACTTATAGTAAGCACATAATCTTTTACTTTGACTTTTATATATATATATATATATATATATTTATATATATAGATATAGATATATTATAAGATGTAAAGTTACATAAATACATATATTCTTATATTTTGTAAGTGTTGTCTATAGATATTTTCTCTTCACTTTGACTCTTCATTTAATTAAGTAATTTGTTTCTTTTAATTGGCTTTCTTTTTTCATATCTTACAAAGTGCAAAGTTATAAAAAAATATTTTTTTATTTTATTTTATAAATAGTATCTATAAACATTTTTTCTTTAAATTTGACTCCTCACTCAATCAAGTAATTTTTTTTCTTTTAATTCAACTTTCTTACAATATATAAAAATACTTTCATTAATAGTTAGTTTGATTACATTGATTTGAACCTACTATTTATATCAAACTATCGTTACAAATAACAACAACTAATTGCCTTTTGAAATCATATTTTATGTACATAATATAATTAGCGCATCAATTAGGATTTTGTAGAAAATTTTGTAAAATGCTGTACTTATTCCTCTTCAAAGTCATAACACTATTTTTATTTATTAAAAAAAATTACGATAAATTGAAATCCAATTTGGTTTCATTTTTTTTTTATTTTGCAAATCAAATCTCATTTAGTAGGCATTTGATATTTTCTCAAACATAATTTTTAAGAAATATGAATTTAAAAAATTAAGAAATGTCCATGAATTTGGTGGCATCCAATTGTAAACATTTTTAAATTTTAGATTCTGTTTTAAGTCTAACTCAAATCACCTATTCAATTTATATTTATTATTAAAATGTTAAAATTTTATAATATTAAATATATTTTAAATTTAATTAAATAAATTTTTAATATAATATTATTTTGAATCATACTTAAAAAGTTATGCATAAAATCATAAATTTGACCCATAATCTAACTAATGAATAGGTCTACTTCTTAATAAAGTTAAAATTATATTTAATTACGGTCCATTTGTGTTTTTTTTCTTTGCTTGAATTTTGAAAAACATTCATTAATCAAACATGAATATGAATTTAAAAATACGTATTTTCTTAATTTATTTTAATTAGTTTAATTAAATTAAATTTATTTTACTAACTTTTTAATATTTAATTGATATAAAATTATATATTTTTGATAAATAATATTATCATACTTAAAGTGCATAAGATTTTTGGTAAGAAAAAAATTGAAATTAAAAAATAATTTGTGATTTTTAAAAAAAACCTTATAATTAACCATAATTTATAGGATTTTTCCATTGTATTTTAAGTATAAATTAAATTCAAGCATAAATAATTAGATATATATGATTTTGTCTTTCTTTTAAATTTTAAAAATTTTAATAACTAATAATTTTTTAAATATATTTATTTGATAAATAACATAAAATTAGAAATGATCGTAGGTGTCATCATGAAGATAATTTTTTTACACACATAAATTATTTATGATTACCTTAGTAAATAGATAACAAATAACTAGATTAAATGATAAATAGTTTTTAACTTGCTACATCACAAACTAAATATCCTCAAAAATTAAAAAAAAGGTTTCAATTACAATTAAAAAATAATTGATTAAATAATAATTAAAAGTATATTAATAAAACAAAATAATCGGTGCATTGCACAGGTAACAAACTAGTTATTCTATATATTAATGATGGAATTAAACTTTTATTTCCTTCTTTTTAAATTTAATTCAGAATTATTTAAGGAAAACAAAAATAAATTTATTTAATTTAGTTTTTTAAAACTATTAAAATATATTTATTAAAGAACACATGTCAATTTTTTAGATTATTCACGTATTGAAGATATAACCTAACAACATCATATTATTTTCTTTTTATTAAAGACTTTAATTTTTATATATTTATATAAGATTATAGCATATCAGAATTTCATTTCATTTTATTTTAAATAAAAGGACAATGAAATTAAGAAAAGAGCTAGCTGGCGTTGATTTTAAACATGCAATATGATCAGTACCAGGCGGTCGAGGTCGTGTTTCTTGCATCAAGCGCTCTTCATCATGCTGTTACTAGATTAAAGATTGACCGGAAACAAAACCATGGATCAATTTCATTCTACCTTTTGTTGGCTTTTGCTTCAACCCCTCCCTCTACTGTACATAGTTCTAAACTAGTTGCAGACACTAGTACTATTCTGACACAAACTAGTAGTACTATTCTAATTTCTAAGAAACTATATATTTAATTTAAGCACTTGGAAAATTTAGGAGCAACATGATATATATATATATATATATATAAATGGATGATAAAGAAGCGTATCTTACCAATTGTTTATCAAAGCACCTAACAAACCAAGAAGAATTAATGCAATACAATGAACGTGTTTGTTGATGGTCATCTAAACATCATTCCTCACATATACTTGGTTCGTCTGCTAAGAAGAGGATAATAAAAATGACTAGATGACCGTCAACAAACATATTCAATAATGCATTTCAGCAAAACCTTATTCTATCATGCAAATCAAGGGAATTAAAAATGTGCGATCATCTATTTGGTCTAAACCTCCACTCCATTGTTTACATATCGCATTTTAATAAAGGGTATATTCTGAGGAATTATTCTCATGAAGAAGCATATACTTTCAGAATAAACCTTAGGCTCTTACTCGCTGGTTGGTACTTGGCACTTAGGAATGAGGATTGACATCTTCCTCTTGAGTTCAGCAACTCATTGACCACATCCAACAAATATACTGGCCCAGTGCTCTAGTTGTGTTGGTTAAGTTCACGGATTCTACAGTTGAGACCCAGCCCAAAAACAAGTTTGTCACTCCCAATTATTATTATTTTTTATTTCTTTCTCTTTGTTGAGCAACCTGATTCATCCTCAATATAACACATCTTTTTGGACTATTCTCGTGGTGTGGGTTGTGAAGACTGAAGAACACAGAAAGCACCGTTGCTACTTTCTAACCGGCGAAAAGTACAGCAACAACAAAGACTTGTCTTTCTCGTTAAGCCTTAAGTTCCAATATCTTGAATTCCAATCATTAATTTTTCATTGAAGTTCACAAAACCAACTGGGGCAAGAAAGCTATAATATAATTACAGCATATAATTAAATCTAGGCCAGAGATTTATGCTTGGCAGAGAAGAGAATTCAACAAAGACCTTAAATATAGAACATGGATGAATCCTACCTCTCCTCTGCCAGCTTTTCCTGGTTATGGCATCCAGTTGCAGCCGAAGTCCATGTGTCCCGGTTATGAGCTCAAAATACTCCACATGAACAGATGCCGAGGTGGACAAAGCCGCCTAGCCGAGGACACGCATGGAAATTTGAACCTAGGCTCTTTGAAATTATTGGATAACGTGGAAAGCAGGAGCAACGCTGAGTGGAAATTACTTAATGCGCCAAAGTTAATCTATGATTCTGGTAACTCAGTACAAGAAAAAGCGCTCCACTCCTTTGAGGGAAGATAGAGAAACGAACTGCTGTTGTAGCAAAAAACGAAAGCCTGATTGGTCGAACTCAAACAGTTACGAACTGTGTGTAATTCAAACCCTATGATATTCCATAAAAGGTCAAGCCACTAGAAAAATTCTCTTCTTTGAGACTTTTCCTCGTGTAGTGCTTCTGATTTAATCTACTTCCATCTGTACCTTGAGCTACTTTTGAAAAATGCATTATGCTTCTACATGGCAAATCAATTTGGTGTAGATAAATAGCTCCTCCCTACATCCTAGCTAATTCCTGGCAATGATCTGGCAGTACTGGATGATGCTGAAGAAAAACAGACTACAGGAGCAATGCATTAACTACAAAAGGCATAAAAAACTAAGGAGGCACCGCACAGCAACCACCACAGAGGTACATAACTAAAATTTGACAAATATTCACTCGGCAGAAATGCTCATACAGAAAAATGGTGGACATAAAACAAAGTCAATTATTTAAAGCATTATAATGTATTATTTGGCCGGTTCAACTGCTTCGCAGGGAGGCAGTGAAGGAAGAAGCCAAGCAAAAAAGCCAAGGTTTGTTTCTCCCCTCAATTTCTGGGACGAGTATTCTATCAACATGTTCCAAAGATCTCCAACATTCCATTTGTGCAATATGATCCATTTATTCACCTACCACATGACACCAAAATGGAAGAGTATTAATGCACAGGAGAAAATATTGAACAAGAGGAAGATATAGAATGAATTAACAGGGCCGGAAGACCGGGAAGCGATGCAACAATAACAAAGGAATATAAGCAACCATAAGGAAATTACATGAAAATTTTAAGAAAGAATGGTGATTGTTCAATTGACCAGACTAGAGCACCTTCAATTGAGAACTGAAAAATTAAGAAAGTGCAGCCCCCAATAATTTCCACTATAATATGAAAAGAATAACTTGTGACAGGTGCACTTCATGCAGCAAACACGAAGCAGAATATTAAGCTAGCAATATAACATATTAAAGATGCATGAGAATGAACCACAGCAATGCCTTATGTGAAATCTTATCTACCATGAATCTTCTACAATAGAAAAAACAAGAGTGGCACCTCATCAAGACTTTGCAGTGCCTCCAGACCAAAAGTGTAGTATGTGATGAAAGGTCTTAAAGCCTGAAACAAATGTATTAAGGACAGAAAAGATCAATTTCAAGTAACAATAAGCAAAAACTCGTGGAAATGTAAAGTTCCCTATTTTATACCATATGCAGTACAATATTTAACTATTCACAAGAGCCTTACAACTTTGAGGACCATGGCAACTAATATGAAAGCTCTAGGGACAGAATAACTACCTGAGAAGCAGCAAGCCACTGAATTATGGCCTTTAGTTCAGGATCTCCTCCAAATGCACCACAGCCCCAATTTCCCGTTGCTATCCCACTACAATTTTCGGGGTCCATAGATTGACCATCTTTTTCATCAGATTTTCTGACTTCCTCCGTCATAGATCCTCCATTTGTTTCAATAGACGTAGAGGGAGCTTCATTTAACTATAAAACAGAAAAGTAATGATCAACATGCAACTCAAAAGCAAAGAGCAAGTCAAGTGGCCCATAGGATAAGCATAAGCAAATCCAAATTATTCTAGATCAGATGAGAACACATATAATGGCCCTTCAATGATAAATTGAGTTCTTTAATCCAGGGTTTTTCAATAACTGAAACAAACATAAAAGATTATAGAAAAAATGATAAAACAATTGCACCAAAACTTCATCCCTGGATATTTCACCATCATGTTAATTATCTTGATCAAGCTTACCTGCACTGTGTCCATTATCTTGAACAGTCTCATGTACTGCCTATACTTTGATTGATCCAAAAAGCCACAGAATGCCTTATTAGTCTCCCTACCAAATGCACAAGTTGAAGTGATATAAGTTAAACCGCATTAATTAAACAGGAACCAAGATACATGAATAAAATCTATTCAATATGCTTATAGCAACTAATCTCAGTGGTTTCATAAACAATTTATAGATCAAGAAAGCATTATCTAGGACATTGCATGGATATGTGCAAATCCATTAATAAGATATGCACTTGACATATAAAATTGCCATTCTTCATAACAGTTATTTATTAAGATCTAATTTGTTATTGCAACTCATAAAAGTTTATTGAGAGGAATAGTGCAAAATTTTCTTAAAGTTCTTTACTTCATGCATAGTCGCAGTAAAAGCTTTTCAACCTAGAGGGACAAAATGGATTGGAACCTGGTTTGGTTTCTTTCTTAATGAAACAAAGATGCAGTGCTCTTAAAGCAACAGCAGTCCCAGCAGGTAACTTGAAAGTAATATTTTATCCTACTGGTTGTCATTGATTTTACCCTTTTTTTCCTACAAATGAATGTGGCCCAGAAACAAAACATTACATACCGAAGAAGGTACTTAAGTTGGTACTGTTTCATTCTTGGACTGCATAAAGCATCTATAGCAACGATTCTGGTTTTCCGTCTACCAAGGAAGTCAATACTCCTTTTGTCCACATAGTCACCAGAAAACCGAAACGAAGAGGCATATCTGTGCCAGTGAAAAATGATTTGATTATCATAAGTCAACAGCAAAAGATGTGAAAGAAAAGGCAGGTAGTTATTGAACTCTTGATTATAAAATTTCTTATTTAAGTTATATCTAAGATGGGGGGAAAAGAAAAGGCACTGCCAAAAGACCGTTTCCCTCAGCAAAAAACAAATAGAGAACACATGAAACATTGATTTTGTATGACTTTTACAGCATGATATATTTATATGAAAATTATACAGAAATATTATTTCAGGTAACTGTCTTGATTTGTGTGATCCATCAATGGCTATATGTCAACTAATGAGTTACAGCATACCTAATAGAAATGAAATAGAAAAATAATTGCACACCTTTTACAAGCTTAGGGTTTATAATCCACTGAGAGGTACTTACTACCTACCCCATATAGTCAGAGAACCTCTCTGCTCCAACAATTTCTATAGCTTCATTTTCTGCCATGGAAGGCAGGAAAAGCATGCCAGCTATCAATTCAGGATTGATCATGAAGCGAATTTCTTCCTATGAAAATATTAGAAAAATGTTCTACCAGTCAACAAGGGTTTGGCGATAATGGCTTGAGTAAAAGGTGAGAAGAATCAAGAGAAGGCAATACAAAAAAATAGTAGCACAAAAATGTCACGAACAGTGTACATGCAATTTCAATGAAGCAGAAAAGGAATAATAATTTTACCTGCACACAGCCCCTATTTAGAGCACCACCTCCAAGATACTTATTTGCAAAATCCACTTCTAGAGCCCCAGTAGAGTGATCTTCTATTAAGCCTGAGCTGTGAACCTACACAGTTACAGACAGATAACCCAAGGATTGGCTCCCCGCAAATGTAAGATATTGGTAAAGAAAACGATAAACCAAGTTGAAGCATTACTGAACATTGAAATTTAAGTTTAGAAATAAATTTTTTATGTTAAATTGCTACCTGAAAAGGGCAGAGGGGGATAGTTGATTTGGTCCAAAAATCAGCATTTGGATAAGAAACGCACAATTGCTCAGGATGATGTTCTAAAGGGAGAACCTTACGCTCAAATGAGACAAAGCCAGCAGGCATTTGTGAACATATCCTTTGGAAATAGTGCACGATGCACCTCACTTTATTTTCCTGGTTTTCACTGTAACTATCATTGAGACTCCTGAGGATATAATTACAATATAAATACGACTCATTTAGTGTTTTAACATTAAAAAAAAATTTGAGAAACTTTGAAAGTAAAATTCCCAAGTCACAAAGTGCACGATAAAATACGTCAGGTTGAAGAAGAGGCAGCATAGATGCACAAGTAGGAAAGAGAAAGGTACTGAAACAAGGAGAAGTGATGATTGATAGCAAGACAAGATGCAAAAGAGAGTTGACATACGCAAACAATTTATCAAAGTTGATGGTTGGAAGGTCTTTTAGGCCCCTATTAGCGACAGGAAACAAACAAAACAAAGAGCATGCAAGTAGGGCGCCGATCAATTCCTGCGAGGGAGATTAGATATGCATCAAATTCACGCATGATACTTTTGAATTAAGTAGGTCAGTTAGAAACATAGAACTAATAGAACTGAGAACCATAGAAATACACCTGGGAAAGAAGCACTATGCCAGGTTGCTGCGGACCCAAGATGCGGAGACCGTATCCATAAGTCTGGGTATTCTGATAGTGAAAGTCTACAAGGGAAGGCAACCGCAAGAGCAGATTGGCTAGTTTTGGAATAACCTCGGCAAACCATTTTGTGGAGTCTGCCCCAGACATGAGCTGCACCAGAAATTCATTCCAGAAAGTAAGGAAAATTGAAAGCCCAAAACAAACCTGAAAACGCCACTCCATACCTCATCGAAGAAGAGGGCGTAGCCTTGGGGGGCAAAGGGAGCGAGAGGTTCACGGAGGGAGACAGAGGCTCTCATGTCGGAAATGGCAATGAAGAGGACTTCGCCACAGTTGACTCGGCTGTAATCAGGACCGCTAGCCATTGCCTCGAGAGCCTCTACCACTTTCGACGGCCAAAACAGACGCCAGGAAGATCCAATTACTAATGGTAGATAGGGCAGGATCGAGTCCAACTTTGCCCTTTCTTCCATGTTCATTTTTCTAATTTTTGCACCGCAAGGAAGGAAGGAAAGGAAAATTTTCATTTCGCGGATGCCCGATAAAAAATTATTAATGCTGATTAAAAAAAAATAATGATTCAATTAATCAATAAGACATATTTTGTACGGATTCAAAGAAAATGAAAATATCATTGAGGCGAAACGAATGGTAATAGCGAATAATTAATATCTTATTTATTAATTTTTAAAAATTAATAAATTAATATTATTTTGTTTAATAAATTTAAATAATAAAAAGCAGTTGTTATATGATCAAATAAAAAATAATAATAATTTTAAATAAATAATTACTGACGTAATCATAATTATTTAAATTAATTTAATAAAAAGATTTATTATTTAAATTATTTATTAATTTTTAAAATATTAATAAATTAAAATTAATTTATTTCAAATAAACTTGTGTAAATTGAAATAATTGTTTTATGATAAAACAAAAGTTAAAACGATTTAAAATAAATAATTATTCATATAATCTTAATTATTTAAATTACTTTGGCAAATAGATTTATTTTTTAAATTTATTAGTTATTAAAATTTTTAATATTATTAAATTAATATTATTTTATTTTGAATAAGCTTATATGAATTAAAACGATTATTTTATAACAAAACAAAAAATTATAATAATTTGAAATAAATAATTATTTAAATAAAAATTGATTTGATAAATAAATTTATTTTTTACATCTTATACTTATTAATTTTTGAAATATTAATAAATTAGTATATTTTATTTCGAATAGACTTGTATAATAAAAAATAATTATTTTATTACAAAAAAAAGTTCATAAGGATTTTAAATAGATAATTATTCAAATTGCTATAATTATTTGAACTGATTCAATAAATTGATTTATTTTTTAAATTTCTAACTTATCAATTTTTAAAATATCAATAAAGTAATATTATTTCATTTCGAAAAAGCTTTTATAAACTAAAACAATTATTTTATATAAAACAAAATATTATATTTATTTTAAATAGATAATTATTTAAATAGTATTATCTATTTGAATTGATTCGACAAACACATTTATTTTTTAAATCTTTTACTTATTAATTTTTAAAATAATTAATTTAGTAATATTTTACTCTGAATAAGCTTGTATGAACATAAATAATTGTTTTATTAGAAAACAAAAATCATAACGATTTAAGATAAATAATTGTTCAAATAGTCATAAGTATTTCAATTGGTTCGATAAGTAGATTTTATTTTTAAATCTCTTATTAATTTTTAAAATATTAATAAATTAATAATATTTTATTCTGAATAATTTTAGATAAATAGAAACAATTGTTTTACGACAAAACAAAATGACATAACGATTTGAAATAGATAATAATTCAAATTGATATAACTATTTGAATTTGTTCGGTAAAAAAATTTATTTTTTAAATCTTCAACTTATTAATTTTTAAAATAATAATAAATTCGTATTATTTTATTTTGAATAAATTTGTATGAATAGAAACAATTATTTTACGATAAAACAAAATATCATAATAATTTGAAATAAATAATCATTCAAATAATAATAACTATTTGAACTTGCTCAGTAAATAAATTTATTTTTTAAATTTTTTTAAATTTTTTGAATTTTAATAAATTAATATTATTTATTTCAAATAAGCTTTTATGAATAGAAACAATTAGTTTATCATAAAATAAAAAGTCATAACGATTTGAAATAGATAATTATTCAACTAGTGATAACTATTTGAACGTGTGTAAAAATATATTTATTTTTTAAATTTTTACTTATTAATTTTTAAAATATTAATAAATTTATATTATTTTATTTGAAATAAACTTGCATGAATAAAACCAATTGTTTTATGCCAAAATAAAAAAAGATAATATTTTGAAATAGATAATTATTCTGATAGCCCTAACTATTTGAACATGTTTGATAAATAAATTCATTTTTTAATTATTTTACTCATTAATTTTTAAAATATTAATAAATGAGTATTATTTTATTTCAAATAAACTTATTTGAACTGAAACAATTGTTTTATTACAAAACAAAATGTCATAATGATTTTGTAATATTAATTATTCAAATAGTCAGACTATTTCAGCTTATTCGATAAATATATTTATTTTTAAATTTTTTACTTATTAATTATTGAAATATTAATAAATTAATATTATTTAAATTTGAATAACCTTGTATGAATAGAAACAATTATTTTATGACAAAACAAAAAATCATAGTAATTTGAAATAAATAATTATTCAAATAGTTATAATGATTTGAACTTGTTTAATAAACAGATTTATTTGTAAAATCTTTAACTTATTAATTGTCTTAATAATAATAAATTTATATTATTTTATTTGAAATAAGCTCGTATAAACAAAAATTTTATTTTATGACAAAACAAAAGGTTATAGCAATTTCTAAAATATAACTGTTTAAATAATCATAATTATTTAAACTTGTTCGGTAAATAGATTCATTTTTAAATTTCTTAATTATTAATTTTTTGTATATTAATAAATTAGTATTATTTTCTTTCGAATAAAATTATTTGAATTTAAACAATTCTTTTATGATAAAATAAAAAGTCATAACGATTTGAAATAGATAATTATTAAAATAGTTATGATTATTTGATCTAGTCTATAAATATATTTATTTTAAAAAATTTTACTTATTAATTGTATACATATTAATAAATTAATATTATTTTAATCTGAATAAGCTTATATTAAACAGAAATAATTATTTTATAATAAAATAAAAAAATCATAACGATTTGAAATAAATAAGTTGTCAAAAAGTCATAACTATTCTAACTAATTTGATAAATAAATTTATTTTTTAGATCTCTTATTAATTTTCAAAATATTAATAGATTAGTATTACTTTATTCCGAACAAATTTATATGAATAGAAATATTTGTTTTATGACAAAACAAAAGTCATAACGATTTGAAATAAATAATTGTTCAAATAGTCATAATTATTTGAACTGGTTAAGTAAATAGAATTATTTTTTAAAATTTTTTATCAATTTTTGAAATATTAATTATTTTATTTTATTTTATTCTGAATAAACTTGTTTGAATTAAAAAAATTGCTTTATAAGAAAACAAAAAGGTTATAACATTTTGAAATAAATTATTATTTATATAGTCTTAAATATTTGAACTAGTTCAGCAAACAAATTTATTTTTAATTCTCTTAGTTATTATTTTTCAAAATATTATAAGTTTAGTATTATTTTATTTAAAATAAGTTTGTATAAACAGAAATAATTATCTTATGATAAAATAAAAAGTTATAACAATTTGAAATATACAATTTTGTAAATAGTCATAATTATTTGAACTAGTTTGATAAACAAATTTATTTTTTTAAATCTCTTACTTATTAATTTTTGAAAGATTAATAAATTAGTATTATTTTATTCTAAATAAGCTTGAATGATAAAAAAAATTTTGTTAAATCACCAAAGAAAAGTTAATAACGATTTGAAATAGATAATTGTTAAATGGTCATAATTATTTGAAATGATTTGGTAAACAGATTCAATTTTTAAATCACTTATTAATTTTTAAAATATTAATAAATTTGTATTATTTTATTTCGAATAAGCTCGTATGAATTGGAACAATTATTTTATGAAATAGATAATTGTTTATTTAGTCTTAACTATTTGAATTATTTCAGTAAATAGATTTATTTTTTAAATCTCTTAGTTATTAATTTTTGAAATATTATTAAATTAGTATTTTTTTATTCTGAATAAACGTATAGGTACTAAAACAATTATTTTATAACAGAACAAAAATGTTATAATGATTTGAAATAAGTAATTATTCAAATAGAACCTGGTTTGGTAAAAAAAATTATTTTTTAAATCTCTTACTTAGTAATTTTTAAAATATTAATAAATTAGTATTAATTTATTTAGAATAGGCTTGCATGATAAAAACAATTATTTTATGATAAAACAAAAGTTTATAACGATTTAAGATAGATAATTATTGAAATGACTATAATTATTTGAATTAATTCAGTGAACAAATTATCTTTTTAAATCACTTAATTATTAAATTTTAAAATATTAATAAATTATTATTATTTTATTTTGAATAAGCTTGTACGAACTAAAACAATTGTTTTATGATAAAATAAAATATCATAATGATTTTAAATATAAAATTATTTAAATAGTCGTAACTATTTGAATTTATTCATAAAATAAATTTATTTGTTTAAATATCTTACTGATTAATTTTTGCAATATTAGTAATTTAGTATTATTTTATTTTAGATAAGCTTTTAGGAATTGAAACAATTGTTTTATGACAAAACAAAATGTCATAACGATTTTAAATAAGTAATTGTTTAAATAGTCTAACTATTTAAGCTTATTTGGTAAATATATTTATTTTTTCAAATCTCTTGCTTATTAATTTTTTGAATGTTAATATATTATGATTATTTTATTCCTTATAAGTTTGTATAATATGAAATAAATATTTTATGACTAAATAAAATATCATAATAATTTAAAATAGATAATTGTTCAAATGACCATAATTATTTTAACTAATTCATTAAACAAATTTATTTTTTAAATCTCTTACGTATTAATTTTAAAATAGCAATAAATTAGTGTTATTTTATTGCTTATAAGTTTGTATTAACTGATAACAAAACAAAATGTCATAACGATTTTAAATAGATAATCATTCAAATAGTAATAACTATTTGAACTTATTTGGTAAATAGATTTATTTTTTTAAATCTCTTTAGATTTATATTTTTAAATCTCTTTCTTATTAATTTTTTCAATGTTAATAAATTAGTATTAATTTATTCAAATAAGTTTGTATGAACTGAAATAATTATTTTATGACTAAACAAAATGTCATAAAGATTTGAAATAGATAATTATTTTAATAGTCTTAACAATATGAACTGGCTCAGTAAACAAATTAATTTTTTAAATCTTTTACTTAGTAATTTTCAAAATATTATTAAATTTATATTATTTTAATCTGTATAAGTTTGCACAA